TGATAATAATACTTTGCCTTAATTGCTTACAGTACTTACAATCTGAAAAGCATCAAACCCTCCTGCGTCATATGTAGCTATATTACATATAGCAGCACTTCAAATACTCTAAAAGCAACACATAAACTATGAGAGATGTTTAGGTTTTAAAAACATAAATAATGCTTCCTTCTCAGCCAGTCACAAAGAAGGGGGTTTACTCTTTAGCTAATATTTATAACACTTTATGCTTGTTTGCAGCAGAAACTGCCATAAGGTGCTTTGGCAATGTTGGTCATGAGTACAAAGGCCAAGGAGAATTCAGTGGTAAGGCAGAGGGAATAAAGTCAGTGACAAGGCACGTTGAATTCACTCTAAAATGACCGCCAACTCTTTCAGGTATGGTATCCTCAGTTTTGTGATTCTGCTGTCCACATTCATTTTGTGAATGACGCCCCTACCCAGTTCTTCCCCCACATCAACATAGGCCCAATCCTAGACTTTATTCAGGCTAAGCACACAAGAGTTTTGCTTGCATAAAGGAGCATGGAATCTGACCCATTGTATGCTCTGCAAATTTTACAGTTAGAAGTAGAGGACAAGTTGCAATTTAATCATACTACTAATAAAACAATGGCCTAAAAATGCCAAGGAGAGTGGCAGATCAACCATGCAAAGGGTATTCCTTTCATGCTCCCTGAATAATTGTGATACACCAATGAAAAAGTTGTCATCCTGACAGTATGCCAGGCTTCCTTTCTCCCCACTGTCTCAGCAGGTACAGTTCCCTTCTGCATGGAAAACCAGGAACTATAAGTAGTTGCTTTTGCTACTGACCATTTCTAGCATCAGAGGGACAGTATGCTTTGACTAATTTAGCTGGTAGCCAGAATTTAAAACTGGATAATTACTTTCAGTGACTCTCTTGTAATTCACCTAGCCCCAAATCTAGAAAATATAGCAGCTCCTTTCTTTGTCACTAAGGTTGGGTTTACAGTGTTCTATTCCTGCCCCTGTCTCTTTTCATTACGTTTTATATAAAATGTAGGGGTTAACAATAGTGTTTCTGTCTCTCTACCCTTCCCCTCTGCCTCTCCTCCCCTTCCCGTACACACAGACCTCAATCAGTTTCAATACCCTTTTTAATTAGTCTGGTTGTTTATACAAAGTTCTTCTCTCTAACAGCCACTCAGGACACTTCCACATTGGGGACTGGAGTTTGGGGCCAAGATTTTCAATAGTGACTAGCAATTCGGGGTGTCCAGTTTGAGACACCTGAAAAGAGCCAGATTTTCAGAAAAAGTTAACCACCTCCCTTCTGAAAACTAGGCCTCATTAAGCAGTCTCAAACTGGGCACCCCCAAACAGATGCACCTCAAATCACTAGTCACTATTGAAAACCTTGGCCTGCGATTGTAGCTGAGTCTTTCTTCACTCGCAGTACAGGGGAATCCAGAAGTACTACAGGAGACAAGCTTATTAAATCCCATCAGGCATTATTTACTGTAGTCATTGGCAGCTGAGTGTAATGGGACAGATTGTGACAGCTGAAAAATGAGCCTGCAGATATAAAGGGTATAGATGGAATGGCAAGTCTTACTCAGGTGGTGGTGCAGTTCTTTCTGTCCTTGGAGGCCTAGACAGCATGCTTTCCAGAAAGAGGAACTATGGTCAGTGTGTAACAGAGTCACCAGTAGGTTACAGATGCGCAGAAAACAGGAGACCTTATGTGAACCCATTTAATCAAGGCTATTAAACAGGTTATTAGGAAATAGAGTTTACTGATGCATTTCCTTGTTATGCGAGAAGAGTAGCAAAGTTGAAACCAACAGGAGCAAAGGAAAAGAGAAAGAAGCAGTGACACTCATTCTACTAAACAATCAAACACTGGACAGCTGCCTTTCCAAATTCGTGCAGTTTTCATTGTAAAACTCTCTCCAATGAAATGTGTGGCCCTGTTCCAAGCTTGGCATATGCAAAACTAGTGAGAAGAAACCTCAGAGCTATCAGTCTATGCTCTTTCTGGGGTATAAATATAGAGCATTTATAAAATTAAATGGAACAATCAACCATCATGGCTTAGATGTCCTTTATCAGCAGTGCACATATATTCCAACAGTGTGATTACCCTAATCACAAGCATCAACAACAAATTAGTCCTGTTTAAAATTTAGTGGCAACAAAGCCATCAATCCAACACACGCATTCTGTAATTACAGTCCATGTAATATATTTTATAATTCTCTGTGTGTGCATGCCACATGAGCATGCACCCCTACAGATACACACACACACCCCACCACCACCACGGAAAATAATTCAACATTTACTGTGCTGATATCTTTGATTCTGCCACAATCATTTGCACACAGGATTTTCTATTCTTAGTACCACAGAACAGAAAATGCTACTGGCAACCAGAGTGTATATATGTGTGTTTACACATGTGATAAGAGAATAGCAGCTTTCAGCATTGTTGTAGCCGTGTTGGTCCCAAGATATTAGAGAGACAAGGTGGGCGAGGTAATATCTTTTATTGGGCCAATTTCTGTTGGTGTAAAAGACAAGCTTTTGAGCTTACACGGAGACCTGAAGAAGAGCTCTGTGTAAGCTTGGAAGCTTGTATTTTTCACCAACAAAAGTTGATCTAGTAAAACATATTACCTCGCCCACCTTGTCTTTCTAGAGATTAATAGAGCATATATATAATCCTTGCCTTATTAACGTTAAACCCATTCCTTAGCAAAATTGTAAATTATCACTTCCAGGTTATACTGTGTTATGGGAAGAGGAGAAAGGGCAACAGATAATTAAAATGTGAATTCATGGAACTATTTCAAAAAGAAAGCCAAAGATTTGATCCAATGTGAAATAACTTGATATGCCTCATGCTAAATAGCGTAAGCAAACTAGCCAGGACAGCCTGCCATTTGTCTGGTAGAACGATGGTCTTTGCCTTTACAAGTGAGTAGTGTCATCTTAAAAAAATCACTGATTTCTCATTTAGAAATGCGATTTTTTAAAGTCTAATAAAAAGAAATTGCGCCTGCAAGTCATGTTCTCTGTACTCCTTTCCCACCTCTCTGCCTTTATAAATAGTAACATACAAATGAAAACAGGATAATTTGTTTCTACAAAATTCATCTGCTCTTATTGTTTGTTCCCCACCTTAACTCTTACTGCTTGGGACATCATAATCCTCTCCACAGCAGGTAATGATGCAAATTTTTGCAAAAGCCAGTAAAAAAAACGGGAAAATTGTTTATCAAAAAATCCTTTTTTCTTACTGAAATTCAGAATATTTCAGCCTTCTCTAATTATGACTAGAACTGTGTGAAGCATTCACAATAAAACAAATTCACATGTGGCGCCCCTTAATCCAGGATTCATTACTAACGCCAAGTTCAGAGCAGGTTTGCTATAAGGCTGGTAAACCTTGTTCCATGTCAAACCTCTGACATTTAAGGTTTAACCGGGGTTGGACATGAAACCAGATAGTTTGAGATGCATTTTACTTTGTGTTTTGTTGTTTATTTGAACCAGGAACTCCAAGCAAAAATAGAGGTACCGGGGGTTGGGGGTGGAAGGGGAACCAACTACACAAGGCTCAAAGTAGCAAACAAGCAAATTCCTGGGAAATGAAATCACTGCATTGCACACAACCCTAATTTTGACAACTGGTAAAAAAGATAAGAAGCTAGTGAAACCTCAAGGAATAAAGGGTGGGATTTCAGAAGTGCTCAGTGTTGAGCAAATGGGAAATTTTATTATTGCCTTCAATTGGAGCAGAGTTAGATCAAAGCAGAGCCCTTTTGAAAATCCTCTCCAAAGATTCTGATTTTACATCAAAGTAGCTAGCAATAAAAAATACACAAGACATATGACCTGTAGCCAGAACTACAGCATCACTAAATAGACTGATTTCCAATGTTTTCCATATGGCATCAGTTGACATTTTAAAGAATCCAAATTAAGAACTCACCAGTCCAAAAGTCTTTGTCATTTTTATCCTCTTATCAAGAGCACATACAGAACTCTTGGCATGCAGGCAGTATGAGCGGGACCCGCACTTTTTAGCATAATTCAAGAGCTGTCTGTTACCATATAATGGTTTTTTGGCTTAGTTATCTGTACACTTAAGGAAGGAACTCTTTTAAAAATGATCAACAAACCACTAGGTAATTATTTCTTTTCACTTTTATCACAAGATATGACTTCACTGGTTGTAACTACCCCTTATTACTGGGGGTGCCTCTTATTTTAGACATTTATTTCATCTCTGTCCCACACAAATCCAGTATAATCTCATTTACACATTTGCAGTGCAAGTAACGTGTATCTGCAACACTGATCTGTGAAAGTGGATTTAAATAACATTGTCCACAGTATGGTTGTGGTCATGTTGTCCCAGGATATTAGAGAGACAGCGGTGAGATAACATCTTTTATTGGACCAACTTGTATTTAAACAACATGTCATTTATGCTAAATAATGATTCCCAGATCATTTTCAACTTATTACACTCAAATTTGTCCCTCTTATTGTGTCTCCTATGTATGTTTTAGTTGGTTTAGAGGAATAGATAAAAACATCAACTTAACCCTCAAAAGCTAGTGACCGACACTTGAAGCCAATGGCAAAGATCCCATTGACTAATGGCAATTGAATTGGGCCCTTGGATCATGATCCAAAGCTCATGGAAATCAAGGAGAGCTTTTCAATTGACTTCAATGGGCTTTGGGTCATTAATAGTAATTTAATACAGCACTTTTGGCTAACTTCTGGTCTCAGACCAAACGAATGGGAGCAGCATGCATACATCCGATGGCAGAATTTAGCCTTTTGGATTTGCCTGTGAGAGTTATAGGGAAGGATTTTTCCTCTTACTGTCTATTCTGTTTGGAAAAAAAATAAGAAAAAAAAAAACCACCTCAATTGTTTTTATTGGTCATTTCCTCAAAGATTAGGTAACAAAAATAGCATATAAACGATAAGATTTTAGTGTACTTTTTTAAAATTACCTTGAATGCTGTTATGCAATGTAAGCTGAGTAATATCATAACCACCACCAGGAGAACTGTAGCTAAATTCCTCACATCCCATATCGACTCAATTAAAGGAATACTCCCAACCTGCCAGTCATAGCACAGAGTAATTGGTGCTAGCAGAAGCCAGGAATTGAAGGCCAGGAGGTACGAATAAGTTAGAAATCTGAAAGATGAAATGGAAATACAATACTTAGAATGTTCTCGATTCCATGCAAATTTCTTCTTATGTTGAGAGCAGAGTGAGTTCACGCTGATCCAGGATATAGTCAATTATTGTCCCTTAGACTAGAGAAAAAAATATATATATATGAAGATAGCAACACATCGTTCTATAAATATAAGTCTTCAACATGTGTTATTTATAAACACCATAAAACTTTAAACCTATTATCTCTATATGAGAATTGTACATCAACTTTTGAGTGGCTTGACTGTTCTGCATGTATTATTGGAATGTTATATTTTTGAGGTGATTAATTATTTTTTTACCTGCTTTAATTCTATGTAATGTTTTATTCCTACAAAAAAAGTAATTAAAAGTTAAAATTATATACATAAGAGAGACCCACCCATCAGTCTCTTACGGCAGTATTGCTGGACTCCTGCGATGCAAAGCAACCCTAACGCTGGCTTAACCAGCCATCTGAAGATTCCCTCTGTGCAGAGGAATTCATGGGTAGCTTAGAGCTGCTGCAGCAGTTCCTACATCAGACCCCCTCCCTGCTCTCTGGCACAGGGGGCAAGAAGCCCAGACCAAAGTTGGTGATTCCTGGCTCCCATCATAGCCCTTGGGGGGCATGAGCAGTTGGCATGAGCTACTTATTTTCAAACCTGAAAGCTGCTCTCTCAAACTATGTTTACAGAAGAGTTTAAATACATTTCTCTGTGAGCTGCTGAAATTGGTAGAGTGCTCACAAAGTCCATTGAGGGGAACTGTAAGATTCATAGACTATAAATTTTCATTGGTTTAAAAAAAAAGGCAAATATATAGAACCAGAAAGCACAGAGATTTGCATATAAATAATAAATGTATACAATATAGCACTTTTTCATCTGTGTCTGCCTCGGTTTTTGTATATTACACTCTGGTAGCTTACAGATTTATTAAAGTGATCCCAAAGGACTCCCAAGACATGTACAAACATATATAAAAGATCATTTCATCCACCACTTACTGTGAAAACAGAGCAATTACTCAGCAGTATGCAGAATACTATACAGAATTTTAGGACAGGAGGTACAGGACACTGTATCTAACAATGACCTTAGGCAGGCAGTATAGAATGACTCATATTGGAATTTGGCTAAGACCCAGGGACTAACAACCCTAACTTTTGTATGGAAAAAAATGTAATAACCACAAGTGGTTGGGATCTTGATTTTACTTCTCATCCCAAAGACACTATCTCCAGCAGCATAGTGTCCCAACACCTGAGCTGATCAAAAAGTCGTAAGGCTGTTTCACTGGGAAAATTTCCTTTTCAGGATAGTTTTTCAAAGTAGCTTTTCCAATTTTGATATAAAAATTGTAAATCCCACAATTTTTAGGTTTTTCCCCAATTGTTTTCCTCCTTTTTTCATTTTACCATTGTAAAGGGAAAGAAAAGGAAAGGAAAAGAGTATAAGGAAGGGGATTTTTTTCCTCCCATAGGAAAAAAAATATGAAAAAGCCCATTTTTCATGTGAAAAAGTTTTGAATAAAAAATTTTGATCAGTTCTACCCATCGTCACATTGGGCCATTGGCTCATTACTCTAAATGAGGAATGCCACCTTCTAAGCCAGCAAAATCACTTCCTGCAGTATATGGGGGTTCCTCAGAGATTCACCAATTCAAAAAATGATGTAGCTCAGCCTTGATCAGCATGCGGGAGCTGATGGGTTTATACAGCACAATGTCGTATGGCATGACTTGCCATATTTCCAAATGAAAACCATTCACATCACTCAGTGAATAGTGTCAGTCTGTAATACTGTTATAAACGTGGCTAAGATTTTCAGAAGTGAAGAGTAATTTTGGGTATCCAACTTGAAATGTCTTAAATTTTTGGAGGATGAGTTATCGGAGTTAATAAAATACTTGTGTATTGGTATGTTCAAAAAGCATCTCAACAGTCATCCCAGATGGAAGATGCATCAAATTACCAGGCAATTCTGAAGCCTCATCACACTTCGACTATTTATCTTCCAGAGAGGAAGAGAGAAACGACTTGATACAAACAAGCAAAATGCTAAAGGGTTTAGATAACAGACAGGTTGGCCTTCAGCATCCATTCTCCAGGATACAAGAGGTGATAAAACTTTATGCAGCATGTAACAAATATGTGGAATTTGTTGTTACAGCAATTTAATGTGATTTAAAAAGGAATTCCAAATACATATATAGGCAAGTGTAATACAAAGCTCTGATGAAGGGTTTTGTGAATGGATCTAGTTCCCCCCCTCACTGAAGTGTTTTTGCCTTCCCCATAACCCTCAGGCACAGTCCACTTCTGGAGGCAGGTTACCAAAGTAGGCAGACAATTATTCCGTTCAGTTATGGCAACACTCAGGTTCCTTAAATGCAATCTGCCAACAGCAGTGAACTATTTCAAAGCCTACAAAAAACATTATGTACCATACATAGTTGACTGGTCCACGTCTCCGTACATCAGAATAGAAAACCGTTGGCCATTTCTCCTGTTGTCAGTCCTGAGAGCTCTCACTTAACTTACTTGGTTTAGAATGCATGCACCACGTATCCCAGAATGGCAAAACAGAAAAAAACTGATTGATTTTCCAGCAAGCCTTTTCGAATTGTAAAAATTTGGACAGTCTTTCAATTTTGGTAATCTTGAATGTTCTGTCAGTTGTGTACCTAAAAATGTTGGTGGTTTTCAATTTTTATATCAAAACTGGAAAATTTGTAGTTTTTGCAAAACTGTAGAATATCCATGAAACCCTACATGAATATGCATGAAACTCTGCAGACTATCCAGGCCTAAAAGATTTGTTTTCCACAAATAGTGGATAGCTGTTTTATCATCTATACTTCAATGTGATCTCTCAGACTATAAAAGCAAATGTTTCTGTAAGAGCAATGTAGGATTCAAAACTTTTCTCCAAAGCCTGCAGACAGACCAATGAGGCGAGATAATTATCAAGATAGAAAGGAATAGTGCAGCATTCTCTGTTATGTTAAGCAAACAAATTTTACAATGTATGAGCCTGTACCCCAGCAAAATGTATTGGAAGGTAGGGACTAAATATGCTACAGGTCTTAGATAAAATCTAAATCTCTTGAACTGACTTTGAATTTTCTTATATTTAAACAATGGAAGCAAAAAATAGAGGGGGTGGGCAGGAGCCACATTCAGGCACCCATATGATTTCCTGTAAATCCAGCATTGCATCTCTTACCTAGCATGCTTGAATAAAGACAAAAGTTCAGTGCAGGCACAACCTTTCAAAAATATTATTTCAAAAGCTGACATAGGATAGAAATAATTTGCAATTTTAAACAGAAATGAAACCTCCTGGAATTATTCCAAGAGCTAGTTACATTTTAGGGGCCTAGCTATAGTCAGCAACTATTTCATTTTAATTAGCTGACAATAAATTACATTTTAAATTAATCATCGTCCCTGTATTACTACTCATTTCTGCTGGAATTTCAAGAGGGGGAAAAAGTACAGTGCTTAAAACATTTTCTGTCAGGCCTGCTGCATTTCAGCCCAGATAACAGGGTAACTTGTCACGGTGAGGAGACAACTGGAGGAATTTGCCTCTTAATTGGCATCACTTAGTGTCAATTGACATGTCCCTCCCACCTTCACCAAGTCAGTTAACTGGGTTTGCATTGAAGTGGAGATCAATTTTTAATTGCGCATTGAACATAGAAATACAAGTTTCAGCAGTTGTCAAATGTGGTTTTCCCAGTCCGCCAGTCTCTGAAATATTCAGAAGTTGCAAGCTTTCTTTAGCTTTTAGACGTCGTCATGGTGACCCATACTTTCAAATCCTCTAAGGCTAGATTTAATGTCATGTGCTTTATTTGGCACAACATTTATTGCATCTGTTGCAGAAAACAGGAGCATGATTCCGCTATCTAAACAGGTTGCCTTTAGTGCAGAGAGTGTTATTTTAGGCCACTGTTTAAACTCAAACAATATAGGACACAAATACTTGAAGAACTGTCGGTTACCCCAGGCAGTAATTGAGAATGATTTAGAATGGAAAAGTCACAATCTCAGTATTGCCAACCCCAACCATGCAGAAATCAGTGAGTCTGCTAAAAAAAATCATATGTGGGTGGGTGTAATCTGCCTTCTGGACTGGCTTGTGAACCTCTAGGGTTCATGTTTTCAGGCTTTTCTTTGCAACAATGACTTTCATTTTTTTTAAAAAGAGAGAGAGAGAGAGAAGGTTGCTCTCCTTGCCTAGTCACATGCGCCGGGGGTGTGGCTTTAAGAAAAACACCAAATATTGTGAGACATGATAAAATTGTGAGTTGGCAACCCTGAATCCTGAGAAGGCCTTCTCTGCTAAGAGCCTGCTGCACTTGAATGCTCTCCTCTCCCCTACAGATGCAAAAGGACACCCAACAACACCCATGGTGTTAGGCTAGGGTTGCCAACCCTCCCGGTTTTGCCAGAAGTCTCCCGGAATTGGGCTCTATTTCCCGGAAGCTACTGAAGCCAAACGGGGAGATTTTAGGCCTCTAAAAGTCCGACGGTGCAGCGGGGCTAAGGCAGGCTCCCTGCCCTGAGGTAAGCGCAGTCCAACCGAGCCAGCACCCTGACCCCCTGCCCCAGCCTGAGCCCCCTCCCACAGCCAGCACCTCAAACCCCCTCCTGCACCCCAACCCCCTGACACAGCCCAGAGCCCCCTCCTGCACCCAAACTCCTTCCCAGAGCCTGCACTGCTCATCCTCTCCCCTCCCCAATCCCCTACCCCAGCCCTGAGCCCCCTCCCGGAGCCCACACTCCCTCCTACACCCCAACACTCTGTCCCAGCCCAGAGCCCCCTCCTACACCCAAACTCCTTCCCAGAGCCTGCACTTCTCACCCCATCCCCACCCCAATCCCTCCCTGCCCCCGCCCTGAGCCCCCTCCCAGAGCCCGCACCCCCTCCTGCACCCCCGCTCCAGCCCAGTAAAAGTGAGTGACGGTGGGGGAGAGCGAGTG